CGGCGTACAGAGGAAGTGGATGACTATGGTGCAGATCCACGTGGCTATGAACATCACGGTCGCTCTGAAACCGTTTAAGAAAATACCTGAGGAATTTCGCCAAATGGAAAGCGTACATAGGCATACATACCGTATGGTATTCCTCAAACCCATGAAGTGAGAAATATTATTAGGATTGGCTGAGATTCGCCCATATTGGGCGAGTCTCGGCTCATTCCAGGCTGAAGATCTGCCAAAACGGGAATGTCTTCTATGCTGAGGATCCGCCAAAGCAAGTATAAGAGATTGCGGCCGTCTCGGGGGTTACCTCAAGGCAGAGAAGTCTGTTTCATGACACGAAACATTTTTCGATGCAAGAAGGAAAAGGAACATCCTGACGGCATCATCATGCTGAGTCGCGGAATCGCTCTCCCTCTCTCCTCCTTTGCAAGGAGGCCCAAACCTCACGGAACATCCTCCGAACGTCTGAAATTGTCATTTTCCCTGAATTTTCAATCGCAATGTTCGAAACCTTTGTAGGGTACCTGCGAACGAATACCGGGTACGAGTACTGAGTACTGAGTACTGGGATAGTCGGGTCCGATTTCGACTAGGCAGGGGCGAATTCCTACAATTTATTTCTGTTCTGTTGTGAAATATCGGAATCCCGACAACTTCGAGGTATTGGCTGAAATATTTAGATTTTTACCCAGTGGGTCGACGGTGATGCGAGATCACGGAGTCATCCGAGTCCACAAGGACACGGCTGCCAAATTTGAAAACCGTTCCGATGAAAATAAATTCGAGGGAATCATATATAGTAATGGACCTAATATTAAAGAAAGATATTGGCTAAATAGGCAGTTACCTGGCTGGGCAGTAAACTGCTCGACCTAATATCAGTTCGGCCCCCTTCGGCTCGATGAAGGGGAATTCCCTCCAATTTTTTCCCTCGAAGGTTCACCATGCATAAATAGGGATCTCGCAGCCAGGGTTTGTCTGCCATCGTCCATAGCCCGTACAGCAGGAGGAAACTAGCTCACGAATCGAAATCTGCGGAAATTGAGATTGTGTTGTGATGGTAATTTTTTAATCACAATGCTGCAAAAAATAATGATAGTCCTTCGACGTGGATGTGAATCATTTATATGTATATCCGTTTAGTGCCTGGTGCAGCAGGCTACGCTACACTGCCGGACGAAAAATATTTGAACTATTGTATAAATATATTTATATATATTGAAACGTTTTTCCAATATTACAATTTTTCGGCGTTTAAATGGGGTAAACATGAAGAATGTGATCGTTTTTCTCAACTTATATCCCCTGTTCAATGATCTAAATGAAACTAACCAGAATCTTATCGCTAAAATGGAAAAAGTCATCCATAAACCCCTCAGCAAAGTTTTTCCAGCACGTTAAAAATATATATGTGCAAGTAGCAGTGGTACCCGGCGTTGCACGGATGAATATTATATGTTCCATATTAATGCGCACTAAATACGGTACCCCTGGGCAGAGCCGGATATAAGGGCATGCGACAAAGGCGACTGCCTGGGGAGGGGCGGGGCGTGGGAAGACGCTCCTTGCCTGAGGGGGTCATTTGGGCTTGGGTTGGCCCTGCCCTGGGGTACGAAATTTTGTAACGCCACCCAGCGGGTAATCATCCCCGAACTAAATGAGCAAGCTATGCATAGTCTGAATAGAATGGGATCAGAGGCGTGGCTGTAAATAAAGGACATGCAGACGCACAAAAATTCCAAAATGTAATATAGATTTTTAAAATTATAATTTGAATTGAAAGTCGGAACGCTTATTGCTGCATTTATCCGTTTTTTGTTGTTCATAGCGTAATATGTTTTTGATGGGAATTTAACATATCTGCTTCCCCATGAATTAAATTAGCCTAGTGATAGTTCAGAAATAATACTTCTTGTAACATCACTCACCCGGTCTCCGTAATTTTTCGCAGCTGAAGTTGCGACTTCAAGAAACGAGTGTGTTCATCCTTTACTTTAGGTGTTCCTCTCCTGCCTGCTACAAGCGATCCATAATGCTGTCGTTGCAATCCAGTATGAATTGGGGGAATTTTATTGAAATAAATGAAATAACGCTTACAACACGGGTCTCCATCTTTGAAAATACAGCCATTTGCTTTCCCAATTGCTTCTTCTTGGGGTGCCTTGGCGAGAAAGACCTTTGGTGCCTTTGCTTTCGCCAGAGGAATCAGGACATACCTAGATGTGAACGAAGGAATTCAATTAGAGATTGGATCTGGATGTGAAGAACACGAATGAAGAGGAAACGGACTTTTCGAGAAGGACCCGAAATACGAGGAAAGAGAATGAGATCGGGAAGACATAATGAAGATCCTGGAATTCTGGCACGGGCCTTCCCGGCTTGGACTTCACGTCTTCCCATGTCACATTCTTCGGCAACCAGTATTCCTCCTTCCACACCGATGCTCGAATCGTCCTCAAAGCCTCCATTGTTGCTCTACGATGATACCCCCAGGATGATACTTTTGGAGGTTTCTTCTTTCCCCTCTCTACCTTTGGCAACACTTGGAAGATTAACCCTAGGCTTTGTCTGTGCGATGTTATTAGCTGATCCTTAAGGGGAATCAATGTGTTTTTAAACACCAATCTGAAGAATGTCTAACCCCCCCCCCCCCCCCCCTCTTGCGAAAAATAAAAAACCTCAATTGGGGAGTGGACCTCGATTGGGGAGTGGACCGGGGCGGTTCGATACGAATGACATGCTTCGTAACGTCCTTCTCAGTTTTTTTTGCCAGTGTTTCTTCATGAGATGAAATTGAAGTCACGGCTCACTTTCATGTAATCAGTATCTGGTCACCATACTGCCTTTCGTTTTGAGTTCAAGCATCTGAAATCCAAAATGAAACCTTCCAATTGAAGATTGCGGCTGTCTGGCCCTTCTCGGCTCCCGTCACACACATTCTCCTTCTCCACCTCTCATTCCCCTTCTTGCCAGGACACGGATTCCAAAAGAGGAGGAGGCTCAGCCCCGCCTCCGATGGGGCTGAGGATTTTCCCCTTCCCGTTCGGGAGGTAGGCTATATTCCCACAGGATAACATGGACAGCCAACCGTTTGGGGGCAAAAGATTTCTCGGAAATATTCGTCTTCCTGATCTCAGTCCTAATTTTATTTCGTATTATGTCCAAGCCTGTAAATATCCAAGCCTGCCCTCAAACAATTGACTTCTGACCTCCGGCGAGTCCGCGGGCGAGTCCGATTTGGATTATGATAGGTTTAGGCCGTTTCGCGCCGATTCGCTATTGTTCCCAGCACGGTTGGAGTCGCTCTTTTGCCTCTTTTGCCCCGGTCTCGCTAAAATTAGGCGAAATTGAATTGGTCGAAAAGAAAAATGCCGTAAGGGAAAATTGTAGAATACCAGAACGTCGAAAGTAAAAAATGGCGAAAAGACAAAATGTCGAATCACTCTTTTTCGAGAAAGGGAATCCACGAGGTAAACTCTCCTCAATCGTCAATTTAATCGTCAATCGTCAATTTAATCGTCAATCGTCAGTCGTCAATTTAAAAGTTTAGATTGATGGCTTGCCTCCATCGATTGATGTAAATATCGCATATTGTATTCAGTCGTGGCCCGTTTTTCGCCTGGCAATCTCCCGTTCCTCCCGTTGCTCCTTTTCTCATGCTTGAAGCACGGACGGAATTTAAACGGTGGTGCCGTCCTTCAAGGTCATTAGTGGTCGGGGCTCGTCGGATTCGAAGCGATCAGGCGAATTCCACGCGATCGGCCGAAACGCTGCACGCCTTCGCGGTCTCTCACGCGGGCCGGACACACGCCTGGCCACACTGTGTGGCATGGGAACCTGAGAACTGAGATCAGGTCAGCCTCAGGTCACGACTCGGTCGACTCGTTGGGCTTAATTTTTCATGTGAATTCCAAGGTTTCCACATTCGACGAGTTTTCGACCATTTTTCGCATGCGCCTTCTTGGATATTCGGCGAATATTACATTCGACTTTTGTTTGCGGAGACATTCTGTCCCAGCGACGATTTTCCTTTGCTTTTCCAATTTTTGCTTTTCGACATTTTTTAAAAATCGGTTATGCCAATGTTAATGATGTGAAATTGACATTGCCATTGCGAACGTCTTCTCGGCCTTGTCCTTCTCCATATTTAAAGGGCTATTCCCTATGAAACCTCTCCGTTCCATCAAATCTGAAAGAGAATTTCATGGAATTTCGCAGGACATACCCGTCCGTTGCGGAAATTCGCGGAAATCCAGTCGTAGCGAATTCGCAATCTCCGACACTCCCGCAGCCGATTGGCACATTGCTCTCAGAGATTAAAATTCCTCCATCTCCTGCCATTTTCGAAGCAAAAAAATCCGCACTTCCTGGCTCCAACATCAGCGAAATCACTGAATATTTAGCTGGGAAGTTTCGCAAATTTTTTGTTTCCGAGGATTTCTCCTCGTCGCGTGGCTAAATTCCTTCCAACATGCCCTACTCTTATTGTCGTCGCAAATGACCGTATAATTTTGCAATCTGAAATAAGGCAAAAAAAAAACTCATTCACTAGATCAATAATGTCCCCAATACAGAATAAAAAAAGTCCCGAAACCGCATGAAACCTCCTTCCAAGATGGATTCTCCAGATTTCATCTCCATTGGATGCTGGGAAATTTCTGATTCGTTTTTGGCTTGAACCTCTTGACCGTTGACGTCCGTGGACGCGAATGGGGTACAGTGCAAAAATTTGGCATCTTTACGCAGGAAAATCATCAGTTCTCGCAGTTTAAGGTACCACTCCAACGACTCAACCGTTGAACATGTAAAGTTAAAATTTGTAAAAGCAAAATTAGACGACAGTCTTACATTACCAAGTGCAGCGTGCTCTCAAAAATTCTTCTTGATACATTATGGTAAAATTTGCTTCTACGATACGGTACCGTCAACGGTACTTCAAATGGGCAAGAGAATCAGCTGTTCGGTCTGAGATTTCAGAGTTTTCGAATTAAAAATGAAAATTCGGAAAACGGAGTTTATTACTTCAAAAAACACAGATAACAATGAGCCTGAGAGGTCAACCGACGGGAAACGGGTTCATTCGGATTTCTTGTCGACTTCGTCGCTGTCCGAGTCTTCGTCTTCGCTTCGGTTATCCTCGACTTCTCTCTGCGAATCGGAAGCATTAATACGATGAAGCGATAATTCGTGCTCATGCTAACGTACTGTAAAAAGTACATTTTTACTTTTTAAGTGCTATGTTGAAGTCAATCCAGCACTTACCATAAACGATTCAAGTGTTGATTTCCCGCATCAGCAAACTCATTCTTCGTAAATAATCTCCTCTCCCACCTCCCCACCTCCCCACCTTCCCCCCCCCCCACCTTTCCCCCTTCCCACTTTACTATTCTCTGCAACCCTTACTGTAGAGAACTATCCGCATCAGCAAACTCATTCTTCGTAAATAATCTCCTCTCCCCCCTCCCCACCTCCCCACCTTCCCCCCCCCCACCTTTCCCCCTTCCCACTTTACTATTCTCTGCAACCCTTACTGTAGAGAACTAAGCAGGCTGAAATCTCCATTGCTTCAGCTGTTAAAACTAACTTCAACTATAATAATCTTAGTATCCCCCCTTTCTCGTGTTATTCAGACATCCGTAGCAACTAATAATTAAATCATGAACTAATTAATAACCCCGAAAACTAAGGCCCCCCAGGCGCATCAAGACTGCCGCGATTCATTGCCCCACGAGAAAGAACACGGCCCGAAAGGACGAGGAAGAACAGACCTTGAGGACGACGGCTCTGTAGATCGCCCGGAAGAGCAGAACCGTCCAGTAGAGATGGAGGCAGAAGAGGGACCAAAGAAGGAAGATGAGGGCCTTGGACACGAAGCAGCTGCTGAACCGGGGGTTATTTCGTGCAGTTTCGGTGGCCCTACAGAGAGGGTATGGACCGGTTATCATTGAATGAGAGATTAGGGATGGTGTATGGGGGATGGTGTATGGGGGATGGTGTATGGGGGATGGTGTATGGGGGATGGTGTATGGGGGATGGTCAAGGGCTTACGGGATGTTGATGTATAGCGGGAAGTAGACGAGTCGGGTCAGGATCCACGTCACTACAAACACCACGAAGACTTTCTGGAAGGTTGCAGCAGGACTCTTGAAGTACCTCAGCAATTTCGCCAACTGGAAAGTGTACATTGGCTGATTTTAAAACGGCTGCTCCGATGCAGTTCCATTCTAGGTTCAGTGCAGACTTTGGTTAGGCAGAAGTCCCACTGTGCTCTGCCCGACTTCTCTCACGATGAAATTCCGATGGGGACAGCTACTGAACTTAAACTGGACATTTCAGTATCAGTTCAGTTCCAGTTCCGGTTCCATAAAGCTGTACGGGGCCGGCGTTATCAAAAATGGACGTATAAGGATACCAACTTCGCAAACCGCAAGTTACCCCGATTCGAAAGAATTTACATGCCATCATGCGAGGACAGGCCAAAGGAAACGCTGATGGATTGGATTTTAAAAATCTGCTAGAGTAGGGCTCTACTGGACGCTGCGGAAGTCAGATGAGCATCACTTCAGACGCATGCGTCCTAATCCTGCAGGATTAGGACGCATGCGCCTGAAGTGATTGCTAATTTGATGATTTGCTGAGATGAGTGATTGCTAATTTGCGTCGCATTTTTTGCTTTCAGATACCTGGAGGAAAATGTCGGCGCAGTCATGTACAAGCAGGACGAGCGAGCCGACCCTGATGGTGCCGCTCGTCCAGGATCCCACGAGGAGGCCGATGGTGACCACGTGGTGGGTCATCTGGGCCAGGTAGTCCTTCCTCTTCTCGTCGAACGGCAGCGTCATCAGCTGGGACGCGTAGAATCCCAGCTCCACCATGTAGTACCGCCAGATGTCCAGCGTTACTGGCTGCAAGGCAGACAGAAAATCACACCGACTTTCGAGCTTAAATAAGTAAGCAACGAGGAAAATGAAGATGTCCATGGAGTCTACCCTATCGACGTTTAAGGCCTAAACTTAATTACTGTCATTTTTCCAACGAAATTTTCTTTTTCGATAAAAACCTTTCTAAGAATCGCATTACATCATACAGGTAATGCCACCAAGCGGACTCTTACTTCCCATGAGCTCAAACAGGCTCATTCTCGACTCCCAGCACTCACCAGGGATGACTCGCTACAGTGGCGTAGAAGGCGCCATCTCGCATCAGCTGTAGGAATCGCGCTTTTCAGAGTAACCGCCAGATGGCTCACGTGCTACTCACGTAACCCTTATTTTTTTACATTTAACTCTTGAGCTCGAGCACCAATCGGATCGAGCCCAGAGATATTGCTAGTTTACTAGTCGATATTTATTACTCAGCACCGATGACGTCAGAGGTTGCGACTGGCATCTGAGCATGCTCATTTTCGAAGGACGAGGGGAAAAATGGGTTTCGCTGCCCGACTCACGTGAAAGGGTAAATTCGTGAAGCAGAGATACGTGTCACGCAGCCAGGGCTTGTCAGCCATCGTTCACAGCCCGTAGAGGCAGAGAAATGTGTGCGTTACGAACGAATATCTGTAGGGAAGCAAATTGACATTGTTCCAACTCTTAAATTATTTTTGCGGTTTTGTAAGTTTCAACTTGGAATGGGGTGTGATGGGACTCACCCAGTCACCCTAATCTTCTGGAGAGTTTGGATCTCCACATGGCTTTGGTTTTTCTTCTCGATCCATTTCCCGCTCGCTGCGAGCCGTCCGTTGTGCTGCGTTGATATAAAATTTTAAAAAAGACATGAGGGAAGGATTGCCCACGAATGCGAAAAAAAAATCCTGGAGTTTCCTCGACTCACAATTCGGCCGTCGATCTTTCCCGCGGCGCCTTTCCGGCGAGCGGACGCAACCGAGTGCATTGGCGCGTTCCTCATCGCCAGAGGGTCCAGAATAAACCTGCAAGAAAACGCCGGAATTCAGGGAAAACCTGAAGACAGAGACCGTTAAGAAATAATAAAAATAAATCTGACTCCTCCAGGATGATCCGATAGAGAAGGAAACCGATAGCGATCGGGAAGGCATAGAGCAGATCCTGGAATTCCGGCATCGGCCTTCCCGGCTTGGACTTCATGTCCTCCCATGTCACATTCGTCGGCAACCAAACATCCTCCTTCCACACGATGGCTCCAAGCTTCTCAAGCGTCTCCATCCGATTCCCACTATTCTTCACAACCGACAAAAAAAAAAACATTTTTTAGCAATTCTGTTCACCACATAACAATCCATGCAACAATCTTCGCTCTATAATAGGCGGTGTGGCATTTCGGAATTTCAATAAATTGCAATAAATTGCTCAGCTAATTTCCAATTTAAATAACGTTTCTGAAACAACATGGAAGTTCACCCATTTCGAGTTTCCCTTGAATCGCAAATTCTTCACACCATTCCTCTACCGAAGAGAGACCGGGGAAAAACTAAAAAAATTTCTGGTATATCTATATTTAAAAAAAAAATGCTTTGTCTATATCATCTTGCTGAGAATATCCAATTTCAAATTGAAACTAGACGCCAGAGTTTTTCTTCAGTTGGGGCTCGTTCAATACCTTTTTTGAATTAAAATATATTAACATTTAAAATATATTACACCATCTTTCAGTGGATCTTCAAGTGCTTTAGCATATTTTAAGAGATGGAATCATTATGCAGAAATTAGATTTGACCAAGAAAAAAAAAGTTTGACGGAGATGCAATTAATAAATTTAGAAGGATGCATTGATCAAGAAATTAAATTTTTTCATCAAACGTTTCGCGAAATGATGCCGCGAATGACCTTGGGCCTCGATGCTCGAGCATCGAGGACTTCGCAGAAGTGTTTCCTTGGCGACCTTCGATGCATTCTCTCTGCATTAACTGCCGGGGTGAAAAAAAAAATGAATGCTTAAGTTTACCAAGTGGTCTTAGATGAGGTATGGCGATGTTCACAGAGGAACCGAAGAAGAGCAACTGAGAAGTAGAGACAGAGAAAGAGCGCTTAAGAAGGACCTACTGA